ACTTGTTATTGTAATGAGTAGACATGAAAAACAAGTTATCGACTAACTGAATTTAAAAGTTGACGCTGTCTTTTGATTGCAGTGAAGTCCGAGTCATCACAACAGTTATATTTCAGCAGTTAATACTGGGTGGGAGTGGAGGCTACCGGTGCTTTCCTTCCAAATTTATTGTACATAAGGGTGAAGCCATATTTTTTCTAATGCTGTATTCTGCTAGCTAAACTTGTCTTCTAAAACCCAGTCTGGGCATCTCTTTCTGTTTATATATGGGAACAAAGAATCCTGAATTAGAAAAAAAAAAGATCTGGCTTTCTTGCTTACGATTTTGGACAGAAAGTAATTTGTTAAATACCATATGGATTTATGTCCAAAGGCTAAGTGGCTTTGTTAGAAGGAAGAGGAAGCTTTGGTTTTGTTCATAAACAATACTAGCCCAGCTCAGAATTACTATCGGAAATTAGATATGGAAAGGTTCAAGCTGTTCGGACTTAAAGTTTCAGATATGTAGCACGTGGTGACCACCCACCTCGTGGTGAAATAGGGTCTTTGCCTCCCTACAGTTTTCTGATCGCATGGGACTTTGCAGATGGACCTGAGGCTCCACACACTGCTCTGAGATGGGCGTGTCTGTCCTTCCTCCCTGCCACACACTCGGGTCTCTCCCCTGTCAGCCTCCCCCTGCTCCTTTCCGAGGGACTCCTCTGGAGCCCAGAAGGCAGATCCTAGCTCCAGCTCACTTACAGGCTCCTTAAGGCTAAAATTAGCCAGGTTCTTCCTGCTCCCCACTCTGAAAGGCTATTTTTAGCTGCAGAATCTTCAGGATGGAGAAATTCTGGAATAAGCCTGTAAACTGAGGCCGTGCTCAGGTTGTGGTTCCTGAAGAATCCATAGCCCAAGGCTCAGAAGGCCTTTAAAATGTTTTATGGTCCTTGAAGGACTCGGAAGGCATCCCTGAAGGCCTATAAAAGTCCGAGAGCCCTCCCTTAGAGCCAGGGCTCTTAACCACATTGGGCCTATTTCCATCACAAGGCCGAGCAGCAGCTTTTGGGTCACGCTTGGAAAAGTGACAAGGATGGATACTTCCCATCCCACCATTCCAAGGAGAGGACTGTGGGGCAGGCGACCGAAGGGACGGACACCCTGTCCAAACACTTAACAACTCCCGGGCAGCAGGCCAAGCACCGGGCGTTGCTCCAGAGACCCGGCCCAAGGCCCAGGGCACTCTGGTCTAAAGCTGGAAAAAAGAACACTGCTGCCGGCAGGAAACTGAGTCGAACAGATTGGGAAAAAGCAAAAACAGGCTGCGCAGGAGGCTGTCTCCCTGGACAAAAGTTTTCAGCTGTCAGCAACAAGCAGGATGGAGTAGATTCTAGATTTCCTACTGCCTGGGAGCTGGAGGAAGTGGGACTGGGTCCAGGGAGCTTGCAGTGTCAGGGGACCCAGCTCAGGGAGGCCTGAGCAGAGGCCTGGCACATACCCAGCTGAGAGGAAGAAGTGTGGCGTGGCCTGCTCTGATTCAGGACTGCACAGGCTGGCTTTGTGAGTGAGCTGCGGTAGGTGCAGGCTTTGCCCTGTGGGTCCTATGCTTTCATTTCTGCAAAATGTTAGAACTTCCTTGCTACTTTAGTCACTTTCTGAGTCTCTGGGACTAAATACCTAACACCTGCAACTGAAAGGCAGAGAGATTTAGCGTGGCTCAGTTTTAGTCATGTCTGTTGGCTCCAAGGCAGGGTGGCCTGGCGGAGGGCATGGCGGAGGAGAGCTGCTCAGGGCATGATAGGCAGGAAGCAGAGAGTGGAAGGAGGAGCTAGGGAGAGAGGCGCACCCTTCCAGGCCACTCCCAAGTGACTGGTCTCTTCCAAACTGGCCCTGCCTCTTAACATATTTAGCTATAAACTCATCTATGGGTTTAATACACCACTGAGTATAAAGCCACCTCAAGCCAGCCACCTTTCAAATCCCCACCTATGAGCGCGTGAGGTTCTACGGGGACTTCTAGGTACAAACCCTAAAACTTGCCCCAGAATTTACTCCCAGAGGTTTCTTTGGGAGAGTAAAGGGAAAGAGCAGAATCTTCTTAGCTGCTTATTTCATTCCTCTTTTTTAGTGCTTATGCTAATTTTATTAGAAAAAGAAAAATAGAGGGCTCTGAGACATCCTTCCCTCGCTGCTGTAACGGACTCTTGGTTTTGCTGAGCTCATGGCCGCAGCTATTTGTCAAGAGCTACAAGTGGAAAGTCAGTCCTGCTTCCTACCCACTCCTCGATGAAGGCAACACACTGAGTTTCAGAGAATTCTAGATGTGGGAGATGCAGGCATTAGGTTGGAACCAAAAGAACGAGAAAGAGAATGAAGCTTTGGATTTGGGGGTTTGGGCTGTGACTTACATGGTTAATGGGGAAAACAAGTTTTTCCTTTCTCTTTTTAGACCAACATGACAGTAGAGTTCAGTAGCCATCTCAGACCCAAGGTAAGGCCCTGAATTGAGTAGAATGGGGAGTGGGTGTTCGGGAGTCTAAATTAACTTTCTGCAAGTTTCACAGGTGATTTTTATACATGCTGAATTTTGTTTTTATTTTTGTTTTCGTTTCTTTTCCGGTACCAGGAGTCGAACTCATGACGTCACACTTGCCAGGCAGGTGCTGTGCCACTGAGCTAAATCCCCAACCCCATGCTGAATTTTTAGAGTGGCTGCCATATAGTTTAAGAACAATGTCACCCTTCCATTATCCCAAATCATAAAGGGAAATAAAAACTTCCATCTAAAATGATTTCTGTTAGTTTTGGAAGCACTGTAATCATTTTGCAAGACAGTTTCCTTCCTAGTTACCTCTATACAGGGCATATTTCATACTGGTAATATGTGGCAGCAACAGGTTACTGTGAGATTTCAATCTGGTCATTAATATTTGTAGCAGCCAAAAATGATACTACTCCAAGCGATTACATATGACTTTTCCATTTCACAGATGGGGAAACTTGGACACGGAAAAGTCCAGAAAGTTTCCCAAGGTCAGAATGAGTGACAAAGCAAACTTTCAAAGCCAAGCACGTGGCATTGCAGCTCTGCTCCCAACTACTCTGCTTTGAGCGAGTTACTTAATCTTTGTAAATTTGTTGGGTCTGCCCACCTAGTTCATCCTCAATTTGTGTTAGAAAGTCATTTCATGAACGCTACCCCAGGCTCTAGTTTGAGACCAACAGGCTAGAAGTTGATTGCCAATCTGGATGAAGTTTTAGTCATTTCTAAACACCCAGGACAACCAGCAGGGGAATTTTTCTTGATGATGGTACATTAGGAAATTTCTTAAGAGAATAAGCAGCTACAGTGCCACACAGTGTCTCCAGAGCCTGAACTCAGTTTTAGGAAATTGATTTGCTTGTGTAACTGCTTTATGAAGGCCATAAAGTCTGCCTACCCCGCCTGGCTCATCTCCCCAGACAGACTTCCCAGCATTCTCCAGCACAGCTTCTCACATGTTGTCCCTGTGCTTAGACAGCTACCTTCTCTCTCTTCTGGGAATGCTGCACTTGGTCCTTCAAGGCCACATCCAAATGTTCCTTCCTCGTGAAATCCCCTCTCTCTGCATCCCAGGGAGAGCGAGACTGCTCTATGTTCCCACAAATCAGTTACACTGGGCTATCGCACCATTCCCAGGCAGAACACTGGTACCATCTGCTGTGTCTCTCAGGCCTGGGACCATGATTTCCTCATCATTATGTATGTCAAGAACCATAGTGTTCTACAGTATGCTTTAAATCTTATGCAGCATGGGTTCAATGAATGAACATTTTACTGGCATAGCTTGTTTTTCTTTTTTTGCTCAGAGACTGTTGGATCATACAAAGCCATCTCTGATTTTTGCTGGACCAGCCCAGGTGTTTTGGGCTTTTCTAGTGATAGAAGCCATGGAGTTGAAGAAAGGGCTGACTGTCCTGCACACGCACACTTTGTGCTCCCATCTCAAGTGTGATAAGAGTCCTACTTAAGAGAGTCACCTGGAATCACTGAAGGAAAACAACCAACCACCAGTAAGGGCAAAATGGCCACTGCATTGCTGGGAGAGAAACCCAGAGTAGAGGGCCTTGGCTTCCTCTTCCACCTGAGTGTGCAGCAGAAGGTAAACTTGCCACATCTGAAGACAATAATGTCCGCTCTCTATCATTCAGTTATCTGCTTCTGCGCACTACTTGCCTCTCGACACGTTATACGGAGATTCTGCTCTTCACGGAAGTCTTGGGTTAACAGTATTTGGAAGCTGAGAGAGAGAGAGTGAAATGAAACAAGTCCTTTTTTTCCTTTTTGTTTGCTAAGACTGGATGCTTTATCAGGGAAAATAGCGTCTTTTATTTCCATGTGGTGACCCGTGGTGAAATGAGTGGGCTTCCGGTCCTGCATGGGCTGGCCGCCATCTTTGCAGCATTATCCAGCACTGCACCATCTCTGCTCTCACTGATTTGCTTTTCCTTATGCTTTGCATACTCTGTCCCCTTTGCCTGGGAAGCCCTTCCATCCCCCTTTTGTCAAGTGAATTTCTTCTCATCCTTAGCTCAGTCATCATTCCCACAGGCAACTTTCTCTGAGCTCCCTGACTAGTCAGTCTCCTTCTAATAGCCCCTCCTCGGTGCCAAGCACCACAGCTACAATTTTCCATTTATCTGTAAAATTATCTCTTCAGTGCCTGATTCCCCTGTAGGTGCAGCTCTGAGGGGGCACAGACCTTGTACCTGATATCAAGGGCTAATGTGAGTGGGTCTCAGTAAACGCTGAGTAAAATCACGGGGAGGGAAGCAGGCTTCAGTGTGGGCAGAATCAGAAGCATATTTGAGCAAAAGCATCTTCTCTCTATACACACAGGCAGAAGACCCCTGCAGTGGAAATGGGCGGACCCCTGGGATGTACCCCCACTTATTAGCCACATCCTCCATGCTGGGTCTGGAGCTCAGGCTATGGACGCATGATGCATGAGACTTTGAGCCTTGCCCTTATGCTGTTTTTAAAGCATCTTTTAATTATCTATGAGCTGATTACGCTGTCGATACAATAATTATGTACATGTGATACTATGTGTAGCATAGTGAGATATATACATAGTGTAATATACATTATCTATAGTAGAATATCGGTGCCATATAGTCATCAGTTCCCTCCATTTCCGTACATCCTCTGAAGTAGGCGTTTTATCACCTCTGGTTTATAGGCAGAGAAATAGAAGCCTCAGAAAAACTTAAATTTCTTCACGATTACTCACCTGGAACTCAACCAGGGAGCCTGACCTAGGTGATATTGAAGTTGTAATTTTGGGTATTAGAGCTTGGTCTTAGTCACTTCCTCATCCCTGGAACAAAATACCCAGCACCCATGATTTACAGGAAGAGAGGTTTTATTTTCCCCGCACAGTTTCAGAAGTTTCAGCTCATGGCCAGGCAGTGCCAAGGCAAGTGGAAAGGCCTGGGTAGAAGAAGCTGCTCATGTCCTGGCAGACAAGGCCATGGAGGAGTGCAGCACCCCGTGATCTGGTCATCCTCCAAAAGCCGCACACCGAGCCTGTGAGAGTTGGGGGCATATTCCAGATTCAGACCATGACAAGACAGGAACGAAAACCAGGTAGAATGAATCTGAAACTCCCCTCTGGTCTCAAACTCTGATAGCCTATGCCGTGGTCACTGCTTCCTGTCTTTCCAAGTCTCTCCTTGTCTCACCCTCAATCCCTGTCAGTTTCACAGAGATCCTCAGAGCCTCAGTTCTCCCCGCTCCCTGTCTACTGGCCTCTTCTGTCTTAGCGTTCACCCAGGCTTGGTCCTTCATTGTCTTCTACTCACAGTGTGTCCACCATTGACATCGCAAGGCCATAACCACTCTTCTCTCCTCTTGTGCGCCTTGATGGAGGTGAGATGAGGGTTAAATGAGGCAGCATGTCCCTGAGAACTACGCCTAGCACTGTTACATAGTGATATTATCGCTTTCATTTACCTCTGAGTAGCTAACCTTCTTAGCCAAAATCCTGGCTGAACTTTAGCTCTCTCCACTGGATCCTTAGTATTTCTGCCTGTCAACCTCGTTACTTAGCAAAGTTCAGCATCCGCATAGCTTTAAGTATTGTTCTAGATCTTTGCTCTTTACAAGCCTTCAACTCCCATACTCATCTGCGTATGGTCCATTCCCCCTTTTTCTGGCAGTAAAACCATCCATTCACCATTCTCTTGCCTGTGCTTTGGTGAATGACCATAGCTTCCTGGGGGCAGCTGTTTGTTTGGGGGTAGGCGTTTGATTCAGAATGAAACAATCAGAACCTTCCCTAGGAACGTGGATGTATGTCTGGAAAAGAGACTCTCCCTTTGTGAGACTGTTGCAGCCCAGCGGTGCAGAAGGAGGGCGGTGTGGGCACAGGGACTGAGCCTGCCTGGCAGTGGACGAGAATCAACAGAAGACAGCAGAGCTACGGAAAGGAGAGTTGAGGCCCTTCCTTGAGTATCTGGATCTAACTACCACTGATGACTGTACACCCCTTTTAAGTTATGAGACTAACATTTCCTTTCTCTCTCTCTCTCTCTCTCT